GCTCCTGAAGTTTTAAGAGGTCAACCTTATACTTTAGCTAGTGATATATATAGTTTTTCTATGATTATGTGGGAATTTATATCAGGAGTTACTCCATTTAATAATGAAGCTCATGATTTTCAACTTAGTTTAGATATATGTAAAGGTAAACGTCCCAAAATTATTAAAAATATTCCACAATGTTATATAAATTTAATGAAAGAATGTTGGCATATGGATCTATCAAAAAGACCAACTGCATTAGAAATTAAAGAAATTATTAATACTTGGATTAATAGTATTAAAAGTAAAGATTTTGATAAAAAATTAGAAGATGATATTATAGATTTTTATAAATCAGATAAAACATTTAAGCAAAGTCAAAATAATAATTTAAATGATATAAAAGATCATCCACAAGTATTTCATACAAGTCGTTTACTTGATTTTACTGAAAAATTAAATAAAATTTTAGATCATGAAATTAAAAGTTTAGAAATTAGTCAAAGTATTGGTAATTATAATATTTATAAAATATATAAATTTAATAATTTCTTTAATTTAACGTATATATTTTTAATTTAATAGAAGCTTTAAATATTACAAATGATAAAATAAGTAAGTAATTTAAATTAAATATTTAATTATATAATATGTATAATTTTAAGTAAAAAAATGGCATAAATTATATTATTATTCGAAATGATTGTTAAAATTTAATATCTTTTATTTATATAGACGATGGATTATACAATAATCTAATAATTCCTGGTATATAATTTTACTATACTGTTATTTTTTTTTGGAAATTATAATGTTATATTTAATTAAGTTTTAATATATTAAATAGATATATATGAATATAAAGGTAAATTAATAGTAGGAAAAATAGATGAAAAACAGACTACAACCTCATCAAATGCTCCAAAATTAGAAGAACGAACTAAAGAAATTGACAGATTAGAAAGAAAACTAAATGAAACATCTCATGTTACTGTCGATAGTAATCCATTCAATTGTATTCAGCTTAATGAGCCAACCGTTAATATTCGTAACGATAATGGATTAAATGTTTGCTATAGCTCAAAATTTATAGATGCTTCAGAGTTTATTACAATGAAAGCAACCATTTCACCTGGAATTTCTGCCACTTCGTATATCGAAATTGAGAAGTTGCAAGAATCACTTGATAACCGAAAGGAGGATATTGATGAAATACTAAAATCACATTCTGTGTATGCTATAGGAATTGACTTTCAAAATGACTCTATCAGACCATGTATTTCTTGCTGGGTTGCTAAACCACTAGATACTTCGATCTTGGAAGACCTTGAAGCTATGTTTGATAATCAGTATGAAGCTATAAACCAAATATTGATTTTTGATCAAAGTGATATTAATCAGAATTTAAGTGAATCATCTAGTAGCAGGGATCACATTATTGAAGAATTTGGTGATAGCGATTCAACGAGAAATTCTCTTCCAAATGATAGAGAAAATTCGAAGAAAGAACAAGAATCAGTCAAAAAGGAAGAGAGTCATAATAATATTAATGACAATGGAAGCGATAATAATAATGGAAGCGGTAATAATGGTAATAATGGTAATAGAGGCGGCAATGGTAATGGAAGTGATAATAATGGCAGTGGTAATAGTAATGGTAGTAATAGTGGCAATGGTAATGGTGGCGATGGTGGTGGTGATGGTGGTGATGGTGATGGTAATGTAAATAATGATATAGTTGATTATCTTACAATCTCTTCTGACGCAATAGTCACTACTGAATATCCAGAAATTTATCAAAAATTTACTATCAATGTTCATCTCCGGGCTAAATATTCTCCTAAGAAGATTCGTCCTGAACTGACATATGACATTAATGTATATGAAATCAAAATAGGAAATATGCTTAGTAATCAATTGCCATTGCCATTTTTGCAAAGGCGCGGCTGTCGTGGATATTTCCTTGATTTTGTTAAAGTTTGTGTATCTCCAAAATCATGTATTTCTAATGATATGCATAATGCTTTGTTTACTTCCTTAGACACTGCATATCCAGAGTCGTTAAATCGATCTATTGAAATTTCAAATGGTCGTGAAACAAACTTTGAGGGACAAATTGGTGGAGAGTTTGGTGCAGTACCCAAATTCGCAGGTCATGCAAAAATTAGTGGAAAAAATGCTAAAAATACTAAATACACATCAAATGAGTGGGAATGTAATTATGAGGGTTGTCATACTACTGGGGATACTTGGTCACATAAATATGCTGCTAATAGCCTTGACAAAAATGGTTCCCACAGAACAAGTTATAATCCTGGTCACCATTCCTCTAAGTGGAGTCCCAATAAAAATATGGGAGGATTTAGTATCAACATTACTCAAGTAGTACGCTTTGAGTTTCCCCCCCTAGGACCAAAATCATTAACAAGACCAAAATCAATAACATGCCCGGTTATTGCTCATAATCTCGAAATTTCTTTTGGCAACCTCAAAGACTTCGATGCTAAATTTGCTGAATTAGCAAGGTCCAATGGAGGACTCTATGCTATAGATAATAATATTAGTGTTAGAAACCCAGATAGTCAGGATTTAAAAGGGAAAAGCATAATCAACCGTTCATTTGAACCACCAAAAATCAATGAATTAAGAAAACATTGAAAAATCCATTTTCTAACTTAATATCATTACATTGGTTTGAAGTTGTTCTATGACGTAACGACGAATTTAAATTGAATTGGAACCATTTTTTTTCTTAAATTATTTTAATTATTTTTCATTATATATATATATATATTTCTATGAATTGTTCAACACTGATTATAGAGTATGTGTAAACTTTCTGTTAATCAAATAAAATCAGTTTGTAATTGAGCGATTTATTTATTCATAACAAAATATAAATATTTAAATGTAAAATACCGTATATTAATTCATAAAATTAAACTTTTCTTCAACAAATTAGTACTTTCACAAGATTTTATTATAATTGTTGCGGACACAGTCATATCTATTAAAAACGGTTAATTAAATGACAAAGTCGGAACAAAAATAATATTTGCACAAATAATACTTCTGAATATAAATTTCTTGAAAATAAACTTTTTGAACGAAGTTATTTTAACATTTAATATTTCCTCCAAATTTTTATTATCTTAAGACTAATAACAAAGGAAAGAATGATCAAAACAATCCAGCGTGTTTTAATTCATCGTATTAGAGTAGGACATCAAATTTTGATATTGAATCAATAAAGCTTCCTCCATTCTGTTAATAATAATGTTCCATATCGACCTAAAAATATGTGTACTTTATTGAAAACCGATTCATTTAATTTTTAATTTTTCGAAACTGAAGTAAAATTTTACATATTGTCATCAATCTAGATGCTCGTTTTATGATGATTTTAAACTCATTCACGTCACGTATGCTGTCAGTAAAATCAAGGTCATGAGATATATTTAATCATATGGTCTTAATGTGATTTTTATTGGCAATGCTTAAATGACAAGCCATATATAATTATACTTACAAAGACTCAAGATCGAAAAATCAATAATTGAAAGAAAGATCAATTTTAACCTTACTTTAACCCCACGTTACTTTTATATATTATTTTATATTATTTTTTTTTAACAATATAATTAAACGAATATTATCAAATCCATAACATATTATGAAAAATACGACGTTTATCGTTTAATAACAAATCGGTTTATGTTCCGCAGTAATCCAAATTTATTGCTGAATTTCTTACAATAGTAATTCGAGTAAATGTCCACTTGACACTTGCCCTTGTTTAGGAGGTTATGAACTAGCTTACTCCCGCGCTCTGAGAAGAACATTTAGGTTGATAAGCTACTAACACCCAGGTTTATAACCAATCCTGATACAATATGGGAAACACCATAAGCCGTCGGATTTTGCAAGAGGATTATTTTCCCATGGAACGCATTCACCTCGATATAGAAACTCGTTATCATACATGACATTTAACATATTGTACGTTATGGGAGTAAGGATGGGGACGCATTTCGGTTCCTCTTCTGTTCTGCTTCGGCTCCTAATGTACATTAAGACTAGGAGCGTCAAGTTTCAAATTGGTAAATTGTTTGTAACTCATATAAATTCAGAATATGCTGAATTTAGAATCGGTTCCAGAACAGAATCTGAGTCGCTCTTTTAGAACCGTCCCATCCCCATATGTGAGTCATACCAAGAATAGCTGGCTAGGAAACCTCCCGACAAAACTCGTAAGAAGTTATAATTATTTAATTTTGAACCTTTAAATTATATTCTTCACGTGATATATAACTGATCGCATCATTTGCACAACTATGCGATTGTACTTATCCTTATTAAACTTTATTATACATTCGATTAATAAAAATTATATGCTAAAGATATGCCAAGTTAGAAGAAAATGTTTGTTTCGAAATTTCTAACATTTATAATTGAAAGTTTAAATAAAATTTATTATAAAATTATAAAAAAAATTACTTGCACATTTTGTTAATTTTCGCATTGTCATCATTTTCTAATTAGTAATAAAATACTTTTAACATTCCAGATAGAATATCCTGGCATGTAACATCCGGCTGCGCATTATTTAAAAATTCCTTCAAATTATGTATTTTAAATATTGCTGTAGATATCATGTATTTGGTCTATATAAGGGGCATTCATATGATTGATTCCTAAAATATTGTTGGAAATTTATGCAATTATGAAATGATTTTATTTAATAAATGTCCTTAATTCATAATATTGGTTTCTTAATGGTTTAATTCATTTTTAAAATGGAAACGAAATTTAGTAAGTAAGTAATACTTATTGACCAATACTTTTTTTTTACTTTTTTAAAAATATGGGACATTTGTAATAGAAAGGGGGAAACAGCCGGAAAAAATCAATTTTACTTTTATATGCCAAATATGATTTTTAGGTCAAAATATGTTCAGATTTAGCATTAACTCAATTTTATTTTGTCCAGCCGTTTCCCCCTTTTCTATTGCAAAAGTCACATATTTCCAACCAAATAACGAGCACTTTTAAATACTTTCTTACACTACAAGCAATGGTGGAGGATTTTTTTTATGATTATTTATAAAATATTAGCGAGAGCAAATCACTTCTCTGTTACTATTAATTCTTCAAATTTATTGTAGAAAATGTTAGTAATTATTTTAACGGCATTAAGTTAAATTTATTTTAAACTTTCCAAGGTAAATTTTAAATAATATATTTTCCAAAAAGTATTTAATAAATTTGTTAGTATATAGTGGTTGATATAAAGATTGTTACAACAGATTTTAGAATATTCCTGACGAAAAATCGTTCAAAATTTCGATGCAGCTGTCCCAAAAATTAAACTTAAGTGTTTTGGCTGTCTCTCGAGAAGAATTTGTCAAACTTAGAAAACTTTTATAAAGATTATTAACATTAACTCGATCTATTTTCAAATTTTATTGCGAGCTTTGTTCAGTTTCTCAAGTAGCATATGTAAATGATTACATTTTAGACCTATAATAACATATACAAAATATACATAAAGTTAAGTTGTAACAAGTATTGACATCAGATTACTGGGCTTTCCATGAGAAAACTTTAAACAATCAGTGCGAATTCTTTGCTACTAATAAATAGTTCTCAAAGATTTGGAATGTCTTTGAAGCTTGTTTTCGAGAAGATGTTGCTGCTACAAGTGTAGAATATATAGCGCAAAAATTGATGCCAACGTTTTTGAAAGATATCTTATAATATGTAAACAGTTTAAGGAATTAGGAAAGCTCAAAAAGTACAGACAAAGCTTTGCTTTGGAAAAATGTTACGAATGATAATGCTGAACGGTTTTAAATCCTAAAAATTTTTCGATTACCTTGTAAAAATCTTTCTAATGCAATAGTGATTGTTGCATTTTATAAGACTGAGAAGATTTCATAGGTTCCTTAAAGATTACCCAATTTGATACTAAAAATTTGATTAATGGATCGATAATAATTAAGAAATTGAGTCAAGAGAATCGCTTATTCAGGTCAAGAAATTTTTAATTCTTTTTATTGATTAAAGTTTTAAAAGCGTTACTATGGATCAAGAAAATCTATACTCTAGGAGAAAAGATGCATCATGTATTAATAGCAACATGGAATTATAAACATGTATACTAACTATTAAAACCGTGTCGAAGTTACAGTTAAAAAATTAATAATACTGGAACTTTACTTTTACACACGACCATACAAAGAGAAATGCTTAGTCGTATTAAAATATCATGATTTATAACCTGAATGAGTTTTAGTTTTATTTGAACGAGCTCTTTTAATCGAAAAACTACAAACAATGATAAATAAGCGGAAATGTTAAATTTATGGATGAATTTACTCAAGTGAATATTGCACAACACAAATAATCATTAATATAGCATCTGTTTTGATTCAAATACATTTGGTTATGGAAAAATTTATAGAAAACATGAAAGAATACCTTTAAATTTTAAAGAGAGAACTGGGAAATTGGTAAATAAATTTATTATTTTTATTATTTTTATTACTTTATTTTATTTAAAGGTTAAATTTTATCAGAACAATTAGATAAAGTAAAATCACAAAAACGCAACACAATTGGTTTGTAACAACAAACCGCAACAAGAAATTTTCACGTAGACCCAAAGAGTATCTATCTTAATCTTCTTGGTTAGATCGATGACACTAATAAGAATTTCAGAGAAATCTCAAAACAGTTGCTGGAATAATTGGTGATACTCCAATTGTCACTAACTCAATCTCTACATATTTCGTCTGCTAAAGTAACAGCAATTCACGAAAATTTGGCAGTTGGACCAACCACTGCTCAAGATTTTATTTGAACATGTAATGTCGGAATCATTGTAAAGGGTACTGTTCGTTGCCGTACGTTTGACAAAATACGAGTTCTGATTATATCATGTCACTATTTGCTAATCATGGGAATCATGGCAACTTTTATATTCTTCGTTAAACGAAGTTTTTTGCTTCAAATAATACAAATAATAGTAGAAGCGAGAATCTAGAAAGATTATATTTGGCGTCCATTTGTAAGAAACTGGAATGCATCTTAGATATTCATGCAATTAACGGTTAAACACTAATACAATAGAAAAATTTATATGTTACATCCGATTTATCAGGACAAGACTAAACTGAATGGATTAAAAGAAATTATACGTAGCTTTTTAATAAGCGATGATAAGGTCGTACATCAATTTAAAGAATTAAACTTCGATCTATCGTAAGCATATCGATATAATGTCTATGTGTTTTTATTTGAGCTATAATCTTTGTATAATTTTTATTGATATAAATATAAGTAAGAACACCAACACATCTATTTATCGAATTAGCCTCATTACTGATCTGAATTTACTTAATTCTCTTCTGATAACCGGATATCTCACTTAACTTGGAATATAAAAATTTGAGAAAATAATAGTCCAATTCAGATTACTTGTCCCGAATACGCTTTATCTGGTGATAATTTAATAAAGATGTCTTTACTCCTTTTAAGCAAACATTCCAGTCATAATTAGAGGTGAAGCAAGATGTGGTAAGGTAATACAAAATCATTCTTTTTTACAATAATATTTTTAATTTTCTTTTATTTTTTTTTAGAAAAGTTTAGTTGAA